AAAAAAAAAAAAAAAAAAAAAAAGAGAGAGCCTGAGTCCTTGCTTTTGAAATATAAAATGTATACAATTCAGATATAGCTGTAAAATTTAATTATCATTTACCGAAACTACTAAAAGTATTCTTGAAGTTAAAACTTGATTAAATGTTCTTTGCCTTGATGAATATCTTAATATTTCACAATATATGCATCATTTCCAAGCTAAGTAGAGTTAGATGAAAACATCAAAGAATGATTACATATGACTCTACATTTTAAAAACACACCTATTTTATTTACACTCATTAAAATCTAGTGATAATTAGCTTCAAAACCCACTTTCATTTAGAAAATGTCACCTGTGTTAGATGGTTGCCTGTAAACTACTATTGACTTGGAACTAGTAGGGTGTAGTTGTGTGTGTTTGTGTGAGTGTGAAAGCAAGCAAACAAAAGAGAGCTGAGAGAGAGGAAGATAACTCCTGGCTCCTGGCTAGATCATAAACACAAATATTTTATCTTGGTGTTGTTAATAAAAAACACTCTCTAGAAAGCCTCTTGCAGTGGGAGATACGACCGGGATAAAAACACTATGTGCTATAAAGAATCACAGAAGTTTAGAGTTGAAAGAGAGACTTAGCAATTATCTAGCCTCACTACTCTCTTATTTTGCAAATGAGAAAACAGCAAAGTTACAGAAGTCACAGAAAAGTTGAATGCTATGCCAAGGATTCACAGAGAGTTGCAGTTTAGGCCTAGAACCTAGCTGTCCAAACTTCAGACCAAATGATCTATTTATATTCTCTAATGACCACTCTTATAATTTTATTTTATTTTTAGAGACAGGGTCTCACTCTGCTGCCCAGGCTGAAGTGCAGTGGCATGATCTCAGCTCACGGCAACCTCCACCTCCCAGGTTCAAGCAAACCCGTCACTCAGGTGGAAGTGAGTGGCACAACCATGGCTGACTTCAGGGGCTCAAGGAATCCTCCCCCTTCACCTTCCCAAGTAGCTGGGAATACAGGTCCATGCCACCACTCCTGGATAACTTTTGAATTTTTTTTGTTTGTTTGTTTGGTAGAGTCACGGTTTTGACATGTTGCCCAGGCTGGTCTCAAACTCCTGGGCTCAAGTAATCCACCTGCCTTGGCCTCCCAAAGTGCTAAGATTACAGGCATGCACCATTATGCCTGGCCCTAACTACTACTCTTAAAGACCTTTAGTCTTCTACTAAAACAAGAATGAAGTTGCTAATTTTCTTTTTTTTTTTTTTTTGAGACAGTGTCTTGCTCTTTCGCCAGGCGCCAGGCTGGAGTGCAATGGCGCAATCTCGGCTCGCTGCAACCTCTGCCTCCTGGCTTCAAGCAATTCTCCTGCCTCAGCCTCCCGAGTAGCTGGGACTACAGGTGCATGCCACCACACCCAGCTAATTTTTGAATTTTTAGTAGACACTGGGTTTCACTATGTTGGCCAGGATGGTTTCGATCTCTTGACTGCATGATCTGCCTGCCTCGGCCTCCCAAAGTGCTGGGAGCTACATAAATAAATTAAAAGGCTGGAAAGTTGGCATAAGTGAGTCAAGACCCAGGTGATCCAGAAACTGCACAAGAGCCTGATAGACACACATAATTATGGGATCAAGTGGGGTTCGGTGAAGAGTCTGGGACAAGACTATTTGCTAAAGATAAGCCTTATGAAAGGCATTACACGATTTGGGAAGTAGATGTTGAAGGGCAACTGTTGTGCACAGGCTGACAGGTGTGGGAGAATCTGTGCAGTACAGAGGTGAGAGATATGTACTTGAAACAGGAAGGAGCTACAGCTTGAGACTTGGGATCCTGGGCAACGCAGGCAGCAGCAATGCTATGATGTGGCCTGGGGCACCCAGGGACAATTAAACGGGCATATGGCATCAGAAGCTAATTTTTCTTTTCTTTTCTTTTGAGACAGTCTCACTCTGTTGCCCAGGCTGGAGTGTAGTGGTGTAATCTCGGCTCACTACAACCTCCACCTCCAGGGTTCAAGTAATTCACCTGCCTCAGCCTCCCAAGTAGCTGGGATTATAGGAGCCCACCACCATGCCAGGCTAATTTTTGTATTTTTAGTAGAGACAAGGTTTCACCATGTTGGCTCAGCTAGAACTCCTGACCTCAAGTGGGACACCTAATTTAGAAGGAAAAAAAGTGATCTGCCCGCCTTGGCCTCCCAAAGTGCTAGGATTACAGTCATGAGCCACTATGCCCAGCCTGTTTATTTTTCTTCATGGTACTATGACTGTATCAGAGCATTTTTCTAAGCATTAGATGCTCTCTCCTGTCCCTTACCCAGTGACACCGAAATGATGGATTTGTCTGTGGAAAAAAAATGAAAAAGAGAAATGCTAGTTTAATTTTTTTTTTTTTTTTTTGAGACGGAGTTTCGCTCTTGTTACCCAGGCTGGAGTGCAATGGCGCGATCTCGGCTCACCGCAACCTC